TTAAAGAAATTAAATATAATCAACAAAACATAAAATCGTGAAATAAACAAAATTTGTTAATAACTAAATGCAATAAATCTGTCAGATCAAACACAAAATACAGTACCTAATGAAATAAATTTTTATAACAATATTATAGTATGTAGTTATTTCATTTCTGGAGTGCCTAAAAATGCATTACGCAGAAAAAAAAAATCTTGAATAGCATAAAAAATATATATGTTTTTTGCATCAAATCCTGAGAGAATGTCTCTTTGAAGACTAAAAACATCATTTTTCCCCCTTTATTTTTATTACCTCTATTAAAATTAAGCAACTGATTTTGTAGCTTTTTATTTGAGTGTAGAATAAACTATATTTTACCCTCAAATTCAGTCAGAGTTCAAGTCAATGCAGACTGGAATTTTATTGGAAAACTGATTAAAGTTTTGCCATAAAACATTGAAAATTAATGGACATACATTTATGTCTATTAATTTACACAAAAATTTTTAAATCATTTTTGTTCATTTAGAAGTATATAATATTATGAAAAATTTCTAATTCAGTGCAATTATGAAATTGAAAATAAACAAATCTACTATGTTTGGTGATGCAATGATGTTTTGGAGATTTCATGAAGTCATAAATTTGGGCAGAAAGTTCATCATTAACACGTTGAGCGTGGCACGCAGTGAACTTTCTGTGTGGCCGGTGTTGGTCCCTGGGGACTGGCAGTGAATTTTCCATGTAGCCATCATCAGTCCCCACTTTCCGTGTGCCCGGCATCGGTCCCTGGAGACCGGCACTGGAATTTTCATTTGGCTGGCGCCGGTCCTCGGAACCAACAGTATTAAAGTTAAAAAATAGTCTCAATGAAATGTGATCAAATTTAGTTTTAATGAAATGTATTGAAACATTCTAAACAAAAATACGGCTTATCTCGCTGCGACAGCAAATTCGGCGCCGTGCTCAATGTGTTAACAATCAAATTCTTCAGAAAATTTGCCACTGATGATCAAAAACTCCATTTTTAGCATATTTTTCTTTCTGATTATCTATAGAATATTGGGTTGCTAGATCTTTTACTGTTATGTGTTCCTAGATGAGTAGATACGCACACACATATATACACTCTTAGACAAAAAAAAAAAAAAAAAAACCAACGCACCACGACACATTGAGAAGATATAAAGCAAATTGGACACAAATTTATATGCATACAGGTTTCCACGGAAAATGCAAAATTTTACATTTTGGCTGCCAATGAAGAATGAACGGTTGTCACTACAGCGCATCTGATCTGCGCAACTGGCAGGATATTTAAGAGGAGAAATTGCGATTCTAGATCATAAATTCTTCACGAATTTCATTCCGTGTACTCTGAGTAAGTATGCCTCGCATACAGGTGCGCGAACAAATGATATGCTCAGATGTCACAATCTGAGAGAGGTCATGTAGTTGCGCTCAAAGATGCCAGTTGGTCTTATTGGCGAAACAGCTCGACATTTGAGCAGGAGCGATGCCACTATTAGACGATGTTGGCAGGAACAGGTGAACCATGGACGCACATAGTGTCAAGAAGGAAGCAGTAGGCCTAGAGAAATGATAGAATTTGAAGAGCGAGCAATTGTCGGAGCGGCACTCACAGCCCCAAATGCATCATTATCATCGATTGTACATGCAACTAGTGCTTCAGTGACCGCAAGGACCATTCATAGATGGCTTACAGAAAGAGGGCTGAGGTCACGGCGCCCCTTGCGCCGACTACCATTCACCTCTGTTCAATGTCAAGCCCACCTACAGTGGTGTCAGGCTCATTTGCACTGCAATGTCATTGACTGGAATAGAATAGTCTTCAGTGATGAGTCCCGCTTTGAACTGAGCCCCAATGACCAGCAAAGGCAAGTCTGGAGATGCCCCGGACAGCAGTGTGATACCAACCTGTCTTCCTGCAGACGGCTGACAACCAGGAGTGATGGTCTGGGATGCCATTTCATTTCATAGTAGGACCTCTTTGGTTGTCATTCCTCGCAACCTTGCAGCACAGCAGTACGTTGACGAAGTTCTAAGGCCCGTTGTGTTGCCCTTCATGTCACGCCACCCTGGGCTTACATTTCAGCAAGATAATGCCCGCCCCCATATTGCACATTTTCTACTGCTTGCCGAACATTACCTTGGGCAGCAAGGTTGCCGGATCTCTCTCCTATTGAGCATGTTTGGAGCATTATGAGCAGGGCCCACCAACCAGCTCAGGATTTTGACAATCTAATGCTCCAGTTGGACAGAATTTGGCACAATATCCCTCAGGAGAACATCCACAACCTCTATCAATTGATGCCAAGCTGAATAACTCCTTGCATAAGGGCCAGAGGTGGACAAACATGTTACTGACTTCCAATTTTTCTCAAACTGTAATCATTTGTTTTCTGTACATGTACATCACTTCTACTGATTTTCATCCCATTCGGATAACTCCTTCTTGGTGCATCGTTTTTTTTTTTTTGTCTAAGAGTGTATATGTAAGATAAAAAAAATGCAAATCAAAATTATAATTTAAAATGCCTCTTAATTGCTCATTTTTAATTTGGGTGCATTATCTCTAGTAATAACTTTCTCTAAACTGCGTCATATCTGAAAACGGTATTCCGCATTATGTCATATTGAAACTTCTGCATTGCCTATAAGTTTCAGCCAATCAGATTAACAAAAAATTTTACTATAAATATTGTTGCAATCCTACCCCACCCTCCTTCTCTGCTTGTGCTTGCTGGCTGAAGGACGTCTCTTGCTTTGCTGCTTTTGTTTAAAATGCAATGCACCATCATTAAAATTGTGGGGTGCAGATTGCCCCCATTGTGAAATGCCACAAGTAATAAAGGTATATTTGGAATATCAAGCGATTTTTAAGATTCTTCAAAATTTCCCGACAGCCAAACTAAATTTTATCTACATATATATAGAATATATTGAGAAAAATTGAGATTTAGATTGAATGACCTTCCTTGGAAAATGAATAGGCATGTATTCTTATTATGTGCAAGACTATTTTATCATATTTTTATTCTAAAATTCGATAGTTCTTATAATCACATATTAATCTATGAAATTACAGAATAAAAGGAAGGAGTTTAATTATTCAACTACATAAAATAATTATATTGTTTAAATACTAAATAAACCATACATGTAATTACTGTATATATATATGTAGAAACAATATGTTTTTAGAATAATGTTTTAGAAGATCGATGTTTTAAAAGCAAGAAATAGTTTTTGTTAAAATATAGTACTGAAAAGTTATTCTTAAACACATAAATAGCATTTTGTGATATAGCAACTGCAACGTAGTACAAACTGCATACTTATTAGTAATTATAACAGCCATCTTTAGTTCAGTGATTTTAGTTTAGCCCTACACATACTATACTGGTTACTGGTATGTATGAAACAAATAGGTAATAATGCATCATTATTTTTCCTTTCTATGCCACAGTGAAATATAGTATTTAATTAAACTTGCCTTTCATTTTAATCAAGTGAATTCTAATCAGAACCATGCTCATATCATATATTCACATACTTTTTTATTTCTTAAAATTTATCCTAAAATGTAAGAAGGATCTTATAATTTAGGGAGTCTTATTTTTTAGCATATATGGTGTAACTTTGCAGGAAAAGCTAAACAGCTCCAGATCCCTGTTTCAATAGGGTAATTTGTGCTGTAGCAGAAAGATCCTACAGCTTAATGTGAAGTTTTTAACTGCAGTTATTGACCTTTTTTTTTTTTTTTTTTTTTTTTTTTTTTGGGCATGCAGGGCTTGGATGATCTTTGAAAATAATTTTGATTGCATGTGTCTACATGATGCCTTAAATGTTACCTAGAAAAAGATTGTTATCTTGATGCTTGTCAAACCAAAGAAATGAATGTGGAGATAAATTTATAACTAAATTGACTTTTTACTTTTATTTGTTTGTTTATCTTTTATTTCACACACATTCATGATAAAAACTTGTGTTGAGTTTCTCTTAAAAACTTACTTCTTATTGGTAGATATTTATTCTGACACCTTGGGCTAGTGTTGTGCATTTATGAAAGGTGACTCTATTCTATAGTAATATTCTTATAGCATTAAATATCGATTGACAGTCAGAGGCTGTGTAAACTGACATATAAATTTCTTTTATAATTAATTATTGCACTTATTATTTATTCTTCTAAGCTATAAATAGTTATATTCCACTGAGTAATTTAGCCTCTTCACTCCCAGATGATATGCTAACTTCCTTCTGTAGGCCCATTATATCAAATGTGATACTGAAGTGAAATGTCACCAATGGCCTACAATATCATATTTAATATGCTGAACTAGAACATTTCAAATTTTAAATGTGCATTAATTATGTTAGAATGCTGTGAAACTCTATTGAATAGAATATCTCGTAGATTAACCTTATTATTATAGATATTATTACTTTATCCTACGACTGTAAAATGCAAGTATAATGTGCATTCAGAATTTAGAAATATTTTATGCAGAACAAGTGACTTAAAATATTGTATGTAAATATGGCTACAGAGCTTAATAGGCACAGATATTTATATACTTTTCACTTCCTTTCTGAATGCAAATAATTTAAATATGTAAGTGTTTTAATTATTACTAATTCGGCACACTAACTTATTTTAAATTTTTATTTAAATTGAGATTAAGATTTTCTGTTTATAGTATAAAATAAGCATTTAAATTACATAAAAAGCAGATTTTATAGTAATTATTTTTGTATGATAGGCTTAACTGAAAAAGGCACTATGGCACAGAGTGACGTTCAGCACTCCAAGGTCACAGGGAAACTCCATTTTCTTAATGTCAGAAGGGAAGAAGTTAAGCTTTTTACCTCTAACATTTCAAAATTCTACTTTGGACTTCCGTATATAAGTCACTCTTCGTGCTGATACTATTTTGTTTCATTTCATATACATTCTAAAATCATACAGTAAGAGTAACTCGAATACTTACCGTGAAGGATCGCCAGCAATTCTACCTGATACATATACAGTCTTTCCAGGTCCAAAGGAAGATGACAATTTCATAGTGATAGGATTTGACTAAATAATAATGAAAGTATAAAAAAATCAGAAACATTTAAACAAAACAATTATTTTCATTATCACTGTAAATAATTTTTTTAAACACAACAAAACAACAACAAAAATCAGACTTTTCTGAAAATTACTTTTATTTGAAATATAAAATACAGCAGCCCTGAAGTTACTTAAGTTTCAGTTTCATAAAGAGATTTCATTACATATAAACACTATAAATTTGGCTAGTCTCTTCAAAGTCTACTGAATTGCATTTTTCTTCAATTTAGTTTCAAGAAACTGCTTCAAATATATTTAAATAATTTGGATAAAATAATAATAACAATAAATAAAAAACTGAAAGAGTTCAGATTTAAGTGATTACGCAAAAGGGTCTGTTACAGTTTTTTATGCTCTTGCTGAGCTCGCAGTCTGCTGTTACCCTCATGCTTACTAACTCCCCTCTTTTTTTCCTTTATAGTTTTCTACTTTTTTAGTTTGTCGTATCAGTTTTTAGTTTTCTCAGCAAAGATGACTTTCAAAATTTTTTTCCCCATCTTTTTATTATGAAACGTTTTGGGTGTTTACTTTATTAAATATCACGTTCTTGGCACTTATACCACATAAAATTTGATGCCACAGAAAAATCACAAAATATTTAAGAACAGAATATTTGTAGAATTTCCAATATACAGTCTTCCGTACTTGAGATAAACATATTTTATTCCATACAATGTTGTTATTGCTCACTTTCAAATTGTTGAGTTTGTTAATCAAAAATTCACATAAGTTTTACAAAATATGAAATATAAAATTTGAAATTAAAAATTCCGGCTTCCAGGTACATATGGATGGAGGACTATACCTCAAAATTTGATAGCTCTACCTACTGTCATTTATTCACAATGCAAGGAACATACATACATGCAGATTTTTTATTATTTAACTTCTTTAAAAACAAATAGGTAATCGGCGATAATATTCGGTGGCCAACAGTTTGAAAAGTGACACAGCCATTTATAGTGCATGACATAAATCGCACGTCGAGACTAAGGCCCATTCAGGCTAATGCCCTTTTGTGTTAAATAAATTTAAATTCCTAATAATTATATAAGGTACATTTAAGACACTTGCACAGAAAAGTGATGTTCTTTTTTAGATTTCTTCAAGGAACCACTTTGATAACAAATACCCAATCTTTTTATGCTTATACATTACTTATGTATCACATACTTCAATAAGAAGTAATTTTGCTTATGCACTAAGAATAATTTGTAAACATTTAGAGCAACAAAAGACAAATGTAAGACAATATTTTCTGCATTTAATGTTGAAACTTTTTTCCAAGGTATTGTCTCATATAACTTCTCTCATTAGATATTATCAATAATCATGAGGCTTGCTAAAGACAAATGATAGTGTGTGTGTGTGTGATTATGGCAAAGCCTTGACGGCTATCTACCTAAGGGGAGGGATGCTTTCGTGGAGGACTTTCTAAGGGAAACTGGCTCGTATACACGTTACACATGGGGAAAACCATGAAAACGCCCATGCAGCCAGCCCATTCGCGGGATTCGAACCTCGGACCGAACTACCAGTGTTCAGTGACTTTACTGCTCGGCCGCTGGTGGGCTACACAAATGAAAGAATCATTTTAATAAAATTTTTAAAAGTAGAAAAAATAAAACATGGATATTGTTGTGCTTATAATAGGAAAATATTAATAGCAAAGTGAAAAGTCTCTTCAACTTTTATTGCTATTATTATTTTTAGATTAGAGTATAAGTAAGATTGTTTATGTACAAAATATTAGTAATAGTTTTTTGAATTTGCAGTTTTAAGTTTAAATACATTAAAAAATAAATTAGAATATATATAGTTATTATAATATCACAAATACTCTAGATCTCAATTTAACCTTCCAGCTATAAATATTAATATAATCACATTCTATCTTACTCTGTTAATTTCAGGTGGCTGTACTCTGCGGTGGGTCATAGAAAAAATTAGTGGGAGTGCTACTCTGGAAAATTTTTAACCTTTGTTTTAAAATTGTGTAAAAGGAAACAAACATGTATAAAAAGAAAATCTATTTAGAAACTTGATAAAATCTTAAAAGAGCAAAATCAAAAATTTCTTAATCAGTTTAACCTAAATTGTTACATGTCTGTTCTTGATATATTCATTTAAAAATGATCAATAATTTTCTCCTTGATTTCTGGATGAGAACTGATGAAATTTTTCTCCATTGAAAGGATTGCAAGCACATTTACTCTTTTCAAATTCATAGTGCTTCTAAGAAAAGTTATTTTCAGTGTTAAAAAGTAGTGTTCTGCCTCTGATGTAGTCATAGAAACTGTCAAGAGAATTTTTATCAGTCTCATAATTTCACCAAAAACATCATCTAGATTATTTTCCAGTGTAAATTTCAGTAGCTCAATTAATTTGCAGTATTCATGAATATCGAACATACAATAGAATACTTTTACTTCAGTTTCTCAAGCTTTTCTTTGTCAATCATTGGATATGCTTCAGTGGTCAGTAATATTTTTTCTATAGAAAATTCATTCTTAAAACTAGTAAAAAATTTCTCGCTGAACAATTTATCAGCTACTAAGTGTTTAGTGGAAGAATATCTGTTCATTATATCAACACATATATAGTCACATACTTCCTTAACATCTGGCATCAGTGTATTTGAAGGATTTTCACAGCACTTTGAGTTTTATGATTCTAAAACAGCAGTTTTGAAACTTGTTATATATTCATTAACTTTAAACACACTAACTGCTTGGGATTGCATTTGATTCTAAATTATTTCAACATGAGGCATAATCTGATGAAAAAGCTCTAACCACAACTTGAAATATCATCATTTAGGTATTTTAAAATTCTGCTGCTTTTGCAATAGTTTGGTTTGCATTTGATGTTGACTGAATTTTAATAAGGCAGTTTTTTAAAGGTTGAAAATTTTCATAAACTGTGTTTATGGTCTGTATGTTGAAGTTCCACCTTGTAGAGGATGGACATAGAATGACATGGAATGTTGATGTCTATATGCTTCTTTAGAATGGCCACATGTTATGGTGATCTTGAGAAGAATGCTGGAAGAGCTTAAATGTTAGAGAAAAATATTTCTGCATTTCTCATTATTATATTAAGTTGATCTGCATAATAAAGAATGAAATGTACATTACTATAAACTGCTTTTATTTTGCTCGAACTCCTTTTTTTTGCCTTTCAAGACATTTGCACCAAACATCTGAGCTATCAGTTTTTGTCCATTTCCTTGAAGGATCAAGTCCAATTGTTCTAAAATATGTTTTGATATGCCATCTACAGTTTGATTTTTGGAATAAAGAATTCCCCAAAACACTCGACTATTTCTTCAATCATTACGTACCATAGAATAAGGTCCATCTGAGTGTGTTCTGAAACATCTGCTATGTCATCAGCAATAACAGCTACAAAGGAAGCTTTTCTAATTTCTGTCCTTATTTCCTCATGGTATATTTGTAACAGACAGTCAATACCTCATTCTAAATGGTCTTAGAAATACCTTTGAGGACTGCACTGGTTTAAGAAATTATTTAAATCTGAATCTAATTTAGATGCAAAATTTATTAATCCTCTAAATACCCTTGGATTTACTGAATCATCTTTTTACCAAATGTCCATGAAAGGGAGTTTCAAAACTTCCACGAAAGAAAATACAGTCTACTTACAAAACTTAATGGTTTTTTAACCTTTATATTATGTTCATTGACTGAAAGTCTGTATGTCTCACTCAGTTTCTCTTTAATACTTAGTTATTAAAAACCAGACAGTGAAACTACATTATCAATGTACTTGTTTGACTTCATGCTTTTCAGTTTTTTTTTTTTTTTATTATTATTTTTATTTATTATTATTATTTTGTTTGTACTTCTAAAACCATCTTTTGTACATATTATATCACCTCCAGCAAACACAAAAAGCAAAACAGAGCATTTTTTACTTCTTAAATCCAAAGCCAATTTTTCTGTTGGTACCATCAGAATTAAAGCTATGAATGTATTCTTGTTGTTACTTATGTCTAGCAAATATTATACAGTACATAGTTTGAAATCCGGACTCGTCGGGACTTTGGCGATTCCAGATTTGGGATTTTTCCGGGTATTAGATCATGAGTTTAATACTTTAGTTAAGATGGCATGTAGAAATTATAGACTTAAAAATATGAAATCATGATTTATGAAGTAATGAAGTATTTATGATCTAAAGGGTATCAAAATTTACAAAAAAAAAAAAAAAAAAGGCTTAATATTTATTTCTTTACATTATTAAATATTTCTTTCAATGTAAGATGTTTAAGTTGCTTCGTTTTTTGTGATAATACTTTCTCTTTAATTCTGTAGACAGACATAATCTCTTGTTCAGTTACATTGTTGAAGTCCAACAGCAGTTTTGAGAATTCCAACTAACTTGTCAACCGAAATTTTCTCGTTTTCAGTAACTTCTCTGTCACTTTTGCCACTATCGGTTGCGGTATTTTCTGGATCTAGAACCCTACTACAAATTTCGCCATTCATTAATTGATTGATGATTGAGAAGTTTTGTCATCAGAATGAAAAACTTCTTTTATATCATCTTCATTTATTACCGCTTCTCCACATTTCTTTAGAAAATCCATTAATTGGAAAATTTCATCTTTGTTATACAATATCCAAAAACCTTTAAAATTTGGGGCTATCATCATCAAATTTAGCTATTCTTCATTATACATATTTGGCTATGCATCATGAGCTTGGTGACTAATTGTTCCTTTAAATTTTATCTTGCTTCTATCGCGCACTGAGACAATTAAGCATGAATTGTATTAGTTATTTATTATACTTATGTCTATTTCTTGCACATGCTTAAGGCTTATCAGAGTTCTGAATAAATAAATTCCCACATAGTATACTTAAGCCTTATTGAGGACTGGCGCTAGATATCTTACTGCCTGATGTAATCTCTGTGGGTCTTAAATTCTGAGACTGGGTGCAGCCATACAAGCCTTGGCGCTGGTTCTGGGTTTATGTGAATAACAAATCATTCTTAATTCAAATAGCCCTAAAGGTAATTGTTGGGTCTATGAGTATCATCAACAAAATCTATTTTTAGCATATGGAAAGATAGTTTTGTTAAATTTTTCCTCGCCAACATTGTAATGTCAACATAAAGGTTTATGATAATCCTTTATTATTCAATTACTAACATAAAAAAAAAATTTTAGGCATCACTACATGAGTCATTACTCAAGTTATCATGTTTTGATAAACATGCAGTGATGAAAGGAAAGTGCAATAAATAATGATTCGCCAGGTTGGCGTCAGATCAACGATGTATCTATGTGGAATGTTTCACTTGAAGATGTGTGCCAAGCAGATACATAGCAATGGAGCCAAAATACTGATTGTACAAATTTATGATAAAATGATTGTTTCTTCAATAACAAGATATTTTATTTAGTGTCGAAGTGGAATCGGGACTCTCCAGATGTTTTTTTTTTTTTTTTATGTGCGGAGGGTGGAGATCAAATGCGCATGAATAGAGACTGAGAAAAACGTTGTTGGTGGTTTTGAGGTCCGAATTTAGATCATTCCGGATAATGGACATCCAGATTTCAGACTTTGTACTGTATTAGAATATCAGGTGTTGAATGACCTCCTTTCTTAACTGTAATTTTCTCATGGACAGACAGCTGTTGTAGTTCACTTACAATCATAGAATTTATTTCTTGGACATGCAAAGACATGATTAAAGTTTTCTGTAAAATAAAAATAAATAAATAAATAAATAAAAATATTAATCAAATGGAAAGCTAAATCAAGAATATGCTACATGGTTTTCAAGCTACTTGTGAAGTAAAAAGAATCACTTTAAAACAGCATGCCAGAATTGGCTCTGCAGAGTGACAGTGCTCTTCTCCCTCGCAGCCTCATGTGCTGCTTCATATGTGCACATGCGCAGAACAGCCAAACTCCACGCCACTGGAACTGTGAAGTGCACATATCCATACAAAGACTTTCATAAACTAGTGGATGGCTATTGACATTAAGCTTAAGGATTATATAATGTACAAGTATAAAGAAAGAATTAATGAATAAAGAGCACATTATATTAAATGTTAAAGATAATTTGGAAATAGGGGTGCTGCAGTTAAACAGTCCTATACACGAGCCATCATTGGCTATACTAATAGCATGTCATGTTGAATTTTTAGAGCATTTGAAAGAATAGGAATATAAGGAGATATTTCAACATCTATGCATCTGGACATCTCTCCAAATACTATTTCTAAAATAATGTAAACCATTCTAAACTATACCTTATTAGGGAATATTTTAAAATCTAAATTATTCCATAAGAAAATAAATCAAAAGCACTTTAAAAATTAAAGTTATGAAAAATGAAATGAGCATTTTTATAATCTACGGAGAGCATCTACAAAGAGCAAAGTTGACATAATATCCATTGCAATGCTGGCTTTTATAAGGAGTAAAATTTTAATGTATTTTATACTACTAAAATAATAATAACAAACATAAAATAAATTTCTTTTCTGTGTTTTGATTAAAATTGTATAATTCTACACAAAATAATATTTGCTTACAATTTTGTAAGAAAAATTACAATTGGATTGGAGAATTAGCTCAAAAACTTCAAAAATATTAATTTTAGAAAAGTACTTACTGGATAGAAAGCTTGCCTTGTCTGATCTTCAAAACTTTTAATATCGAGGTCAGGAACTTGAGGAGGCAGTCGAACCTATAATATTTTTTTTTAATTTAGATTCTGAAAATGGTATTCAAACATGAAAAGAATCAGAATATTAGATTAAAATCAATATATCCATTTTAACATTTTTATCTGACATATGAATAATTTTTCTAATTATACACAAAGAGAAAATATCAAACTTTAGCAACTAAAGAAATATACCCTGGCAGGACATTTTAACCATTTGCCTGTTTTGCCTTGCAGACATTGCTGTCAGGCCTTTACTGATTTTCACACAGAATGTACAGGAACTCATTTCTATGTTGTTTTTACTGTTCAGCCCATGTCTTTTCTATTTTTAATATTAAATTAGCCATATAGATGGTAGTAGATGTCCATCAAGTGTTAGTTTGTAACATATATTTTGTTTTATTCCAATTGGTTCAAAAGTGTGCACTGGTTTCATGTCTTTTACATGACTGAACAATTTTATATCTTTCCTTGCTAAGCTATTTTATTATATTTTGCTGTTGATTTGATAACATTATACAAGTAATTAAAATTGTTTACCATAAAATAATAGCTGATTAAAAGTGTATGTATCTAACTTCCAGCAATTCAGACTCTGATTTGGAAACAGAATGTGAAATGATTGTAAATTGGTTTGGGAGTAGGTACAAGTTTCAACATAGTTTCAGTACACTTTCCACTGGATATTATCATTTGGAATTAATTTGAAAGAACTAGAAAACAGATTCGGTATTTTTGTCTGGTCTATGATGTTGGATCTTTTTAAACAATGTTTAAATAAATGTAATTCTTCTAATCTAATCGTAATTGTAAAGTAATTGTATTTTATATATATATATATATAACGCTAAATGTAACCTCATGTTGAGCACTCATGTAAGAAGAAAACACGACTTCTAGAGAAAATATTTTATTTACAGTAAAAAAAAGTTTGTAAAATGAACAACAACAACAAAACAAAAAAAAAGCTATAAAAATTCAACCTGCTTTGGATCGAATTCATGAAAAAACTAAACTTTTAAGCAGTTAAATGCAGCAAATGAGGGAATAATACTATGATGTGTCTATTATAAGAGATAGATGAAATGTTAAGGAAGTTCTAAATGTAACTCATTTAAAGTCTTCATAACAAAATTAATAACAGTCAAATTTTCTCAAAAAACAAGCTAGTAAAAAATTTGGTGAGAAAAGTTTTCCATAACATTAATACATATACCACATTCTAATAAACTAAAAAATTAAAGCTTAAACAGTATTTAATAAAGAAGTTGATAAAAATGTTTAATGCATGATTATAAAATTTACATAATGCAAGATTACAAATGTATCTTATGGCATCTTGAGGACTGTTAAATAGCAATAGGAACCGCGTTATAAATATCTTTATAAGACAATTTTGATAATGCTGCCTGCTTCAGCTAAACCAGAAAATACATTGTCATCTTGACAAAACAAAATATTTGATACAAATACTTAAAAGTACAAAATGTAATGTAAATGTTATAAATAGGCTTAAAAATACTTAAAACTTTTTCTGATGTGATCCACTCAGATTGAAATTTTAACTAATCAATAAGTTAGGGAACTATGATTACACAAGTATTTGCACATCACATTATGAATGCTTTTAAAAAACTCTTCAACAAAATTAATTACTTATAAGCTCGCAGTTTTATAAAATATTTCTTTTAATATTTTATCACAAGATATAATCTAAATGGTAAATTCAGTATATGTGTTGGTTAAAAATAAATAAAAATTAATTTTATAACCTGAACACATAACAATCATGCATAAACACTTCACTACATTTTAAAATGTTTAAGTGGCAAACAGTGAATACAAAGTGAATCTACATTAATACAAATTTCCTGGCATCTCTATTTCATAACCAGCCTTTCTATAATTAAGAAACATTAAATTTTTCATGGACCTAATTTTTCAACTGAATTTAACAACTTTTACGGTGAATTTTAGAAATACAGGAATCATTTCTACCATAGAATGTCAACCTTAACTGAAAACTTTAATCCTTTACTAATTAATATTACAGATTTTAAGGACATTTTTCAAAAATATATGTATTATTACTTACAGGAGGACAATCTATTGTCACATCTGTAAGTCGGACATCTCCATCAACACACACAGAGCATGCAGCTGACATATCCAGCCTATGAGCAAATGCTGGAAGAGGATTGCCATTCAAGAAGGGTAAATAAGCTTCTTTTGCAGCTACAATGCATAAAGTGAAACTATCTCCAGGCCCAACAGGAAGACTATCAAGTCTTTCTTCAGCACCCCAGGAATCAGCGCAACGATTGTTACAAACCAAAGCATTGTCCCCAAAACGAGGATTAAAATGATACATAATATCAGCACCTTCATCAGTTCCACACTGCAGATTTACAGCAAATCTGAAAAAGTTTTACTATATCAGTTTCTCCAATACCTTAAAAATTAAAGGCAAATAATACATTACGCTTTTTATGCAATAATTAAAAAAAACATTATGTATGTATATACAAAGAGCATTTTTCCAAAAAGAAAGTTCCTTCTAAGCATTCTTGAAAATAAACAGTGCATTTTGCTCTGTATAATATACAAGTAAATTTGGTATGTATGGAAAATACATTGAAAAAAGATTTTTTTTAATTCACAAAAATGGTTGAAATAATCATTTTTACATTTTAATGATTTAATTTTTTTTCTCTGATTACTTAAATTCTTCTTGGATTATTTTCTCAAACATATTTTGTATTCGTAAAGAATCTTTTTGAAACAGATAACTGTTCAAGAAAGTTTCTTTGAAATACAGTTTTAAAATCAAGCTGCTCTCAGAAATAGCACAGAATCATAAAGAGTTATTTTAAGAAATTGCATTTACATATTACTATGCCATTACATAAGTGCTGCCTTTTTATTAATAAAAATCCTTCCTTATATTTGCTAGCCATTTAGCACTACTGAATTTATTGGATATCACAAGAAACTGCATCAGACAGCATATCTCTTTCTATCAATTCATACCAAATCAACTCTTAAGTTAAATCAACAAGTACTAAAAATATTAATGCCAAGATGCATACATTCTTAATGTCAATTATTCATATGCTTACCTTCTTAATGTCAATTATACAAGTACCTCCACGAGACAACGTAAAAATCTGCTGCTAGAAAAGCACCCTAAACTGAAAATTAAAAGCCAACAAAAAATTGTCTTAGATTTATTCTAGCTATTACGCAATGATAAAGTATAATGTATTTCAGTTCAAAGAACAGCAGTTTCTTATCTTTATGAGCAGGAGAATTAGAAAAAATGTAAACATCAATTTGCTTCATAATTATTTGTTTTTCTTCTCAGGTCAGATGACTAAACAATAATGATGAAGTTTGATATTTCCACAGTTGTAAATGTTATGCAATACGCACTGAAATGTTTTTATTGCAATTATTAACCGACAGATTCTGTAAAAGCATATTTTTTCATGTATGTTATAATAATATGGCACACATCAAAATATTTCTCACTTTCAGCTACCCTCAAGCAGCTAATGTTCATAAATACTTCAATGATTTTTTTCCCCTTTATATAAAAAAGATATTAAGCATTTTTTCTCTATTTTTTTCCCCCCATAACGTGCACAACAGTATGCAATACTCTTTTTTTTAAAAAATGATGCAGTGAAATTTATGCTTGACACAGAAATGTGATGTTTTTCTTGGTTACATAAGAAAGGATATGAAGTTTAATCAGAATCTAGAATCTCTAAATTAATGAACAAATATGTTAATTCAGTAGTTTAAATCAAAGATACTAACTTTTGTTAATACAACTACAGAATCCTACACACTGGACATAATGTGGACTGAGAGACTCATGTTTCTGAAAAGTCAGAGTTTTACGGAATAAGGGGCGAGTTTTTTAGAACTCATTATATTTAACCTCTAGATGTGCATGATATTATTTTCATAATGCTTTAAATAAAAACTCTATAAATCAGATATTATGATCCTAGAGACAAATAATATATGATTACGATATTGCAGCATTTTCCAAGTTAGCAGATAGCTTTTCTCTACAAACCTTTCGCTGCCTGATGCTGTACTGCTTTTTCCATCTGTCAAGCCAGCCAGCACTAGCAGTAAATCCAGGCTCTCCTTCTTGAAATTCATCATAAAATTTTAGAGCTTCCTCTTGTAAAATTGGCCCTGAAATGGGTGTTTTCTCTTCCCTTTGCAGCCTGAACCACAAATAAAGAGTGCTGCTCACTTTTTCGTATTCACCACCTTTCATACTTTTTATTTCCTTTAAACTATCCGTACATGCTCTTTTCACACACCAACACTCGATTATGGACCTCTTCATTTTCCACCCTATCAAAGTTGTCTGTCTAACACCATGGCAATTCTGTTTACACTTTCACCTTTACCCAGTTTCTTTAAGGTATCTAGTTTCATTTCCACTGTCATGTTAGTTTGTTATCTTTTCATTTTGAATGACATTTCCACTTCATAGAATATCAAAAGTTCGCAAAAGCACTTGAATGTGAACTGAGGAATGATACCCACAATGAAATGGTTTGAGTTTAGTTTGCAATAAGATACAGTCACAAAACTTCAGACAAGTCTTTTAACGTTTCGCAACAACAGAAAGAAATGTGAGCCAGTACCCAGCCGTTACCAAACTTTCTTCGTACCTTCCAAAGAAGCAAATAGCATTGCCAAGTATTATGACATACCTTGAAATTTGTTGGACAGTTCCAAGAATTAAAGGCACAACGTGATAACGACAAAACCCGCCCAACTGGTATAGTGATTAGCATTAGAGTCTCTGACTGCCCTGCTGAAGAGCACGGGTTCGAATTCTAGAGAAGGCATGGATGTTTGTAAATGTATACTGTCTGTGTGCCATACGGGGCACTCTAAATATACGGTGAATCGAAAGTCCTCTCGAGATGTTGGTGGTAGGGGAAGAGGGATGAGAGACCCTCGAGCTCGTCCCCACAGGATACTCTTCATCAAAATTGGGGACGGAACTGAGCTCAGTCCCACTGTCACCTGTAAGGTGCTCAGGGCTGTTGCCAATGATAGGCATATCTTGCATTTCTTGCCATGAGGAATTTCATGAGCTTGGGCTGACTATAGGTCAGACAAGTGAACATTAGCAACAACAGAAAAAGAGCATTCAATTCTTTGAATGAAACAGGAAAGATGCATAAGAATTAATTATATGTACTGTATGTAATACTTGCTCTGTTTGGCCTTGAGATATTTTAAAGAAGTTCCTAAAAAGTTGTGGAGTTATAAAGAATGACGAGATATCGGGAGTTGAGTTTGCGGTATTCTACCATATTTATATTAATTGACAGAAAAAGTTATTTATACACATAAAGATAATTGTTTTACAAATAAGAATGACTTTTTTAAAAGGTATACTTGAAACCATTTCAATTAATTAGGAAGAATATAACATATGGTGGAAAAGCATATTTCATTACCTGTCAGCACCACTAGGAATTTCACCTTTCAGAACAACAATGTCACCCAAAAAAGTATTGTTAGGAATGCGAAGAACCAAAGGTATACGCTGTAATATATAATGACACTTACTTCAAAATGTTAATTTATGATAAAATGCTGAAAACAAATTCATGACAAATAGTTAACAAATGTAATTCTTTCATACAAACAGTGCATCTACATTTAAATAATAATAAGATCACAACACTCTGAAAACATTATATTCTATAATACTTCCAACAAAGAAATTTGAAACTTTCAAATGACATCTAACTTTTCACAGAAAAGCCTTTTCTAGTCTGGGTATATTATACTGAAAAAAAAAAGACTCCTTTTTTGTAAAGCCTATAATGTAAGCTCTTTTGTAAAGACGTGAAAGAACATGTTTAACTCAAAGAGCACCTGGTCTGAAGTAATTTTATCCCTGTCGAAAAAGCAGAAACACTTTTCAATTGTTTTCACAGTGTGAATGATGAATTAAGAAGTTGAAGAGAGCAACTCAAGGTATGCATTTCACATACCGATAAACAGCATTTCCTAAGGAGCTCGAAGTCATCAATACTGTTGAGAGACGTAGGCAAACAAGTCTAGTGTTGGGGCAGGGTCTTCTTGAGCATCAGTTTAGGTAAGAGAGAAAACATCAAGTATGCATACTTGCGATCAGAAGTCCATACTACAATGACGGCAGCAGTGAAGAAGCTGATGTAGCTTCAAAGATGAAATAGGCAACAAGAGGTGAGGCATTGCTCGGTTGGTTGAGGGGAGGAGTCATGTGCAAACAAAGGACATCGTTAAGTAATTGAATGCAGATAGGATTTGAAAAAATACAATATAGATTTATGAATTAAAAGTAAGTAAATGATTTATATTACAGAGAATATGATGTGAAAAAAAGTAAAGTAAAATAGTAAAGAGGAAAAATGTAGCTGTCAGGTGTATGAAAGATGTAGATGATTGGTAAGAGGTGAGAGAAGTGACTCGTCATCTCCCTCCAAACTTCTGATTGCTCTAAATGCTGCTTGAAGTCGGACTTTGAAACTTCTGCTTGGCTGTGAAATTGTTAGTTCAGGTTTTGTAGAATGGCTCTTGGTCTTTTTCGGTTCTCTGCTAAGTTGACATCATAAGTTAGAACAGGAATGCTTGGGTTATTGACCTTCATGATATTTCTGTGAAACTTTTTGGTTAGGCTGAAGATGAATTTGTTAATCATTAGGATGTTGAATTCCTTCTAAATGGTTGTGTTCCTAACAAACCATGGACATACCAAGTAGTGTAATGTGTACTAGTGATAGTAGTCTAGTAGGACTGATAGCAATATTTTGTGATTGATGAATTTTAATAAAATTAGAATTACTAAGATATCACAAGACAGAGCTGGTTAAGTTAGGTTAGGTTATTTAATTACGGCAAAGCCTCGAGGGCTATCTGTCTAAGGGAAGAGATGCCTTCGTGGAGGACTTTCTAAAGAAAACTGGCTCATATACACATTACACGTGGAAAAACCACAAAAACACCCATGCAGCCAGCCTGTTCATGGGATTCGAATCTCGGACCAAACTACCAGTGTTCAGCGACTTTACCGCTCGGCCACTGGTAGCCCCAGACAGAGCTGGCATGAGTTACGATGGAACACAATATGGTCTTATAAATGAGTATTTTATTATCACTATATAAAACATTGTTTCGAGCAATTAAGGGGTTAAGTGTAGCTTTACCGACTCAAAATTTGAATATTAAATATCTAATGTGGGGCATCCATGTCAGAAATTTGTCCATAATTACATCAAGGTATTTAACTTGTTTGGCCCTTGAGATAGCTGTTTTATACATGGTAACACATACATGAAGATAACTTTTCAGGATAAATGTCATGGTTTCTGTCTTTTCAAAGTTGAGCTTAATTTTCTAGGTAGTTAGCCAGGACTCTCGAGCATGAATGTGAGCTTGTAGTTGAATAGCTGAGCTTTGAAATGCAGTTTGTATAAGGATCACAATATCATCAGTGTACATGGTAGACTCAGACCTAACAGACTTTCTTGCGAGATTCCTCCTTCGATTCATTTCTCTATGCAGCATGTGTTTTTAATGTAAGCGATAAAGCATCCATTGGTTAGATGTGAATTTAAATAATGGGCTCTCGGAAATCCAGACTTGCGAGTTTATAAAGCAGGCCTGCCAGCCATAATCGATCAAATGCCTTAGCTATATCCAAAAATACAGTTCCAGTAAAAAATTCTTCTCTAAAGTCCTTCTGAGACTGTTTCTACTGCATTGGTGCAATGTAGAATGGTATCTTCTGAATCTAAGTTGCTGATGAATGATAAGGTTATTGTTTTCCAAGGATGGAGTAGATTATTTTTTTCTAAAATGATTATTTCGGGGACTTTGCTTAGATCTGAAAGCAGGATGAAGGGGTGGTGCGATGAAGGCTGTTTAATTAGCTTTCCTTGCTTTCTTAATGGAATGATAGTTGCAATTTTTCAGACTGCAGGGAAATATTGTAGCTGGATAATGAGTTTGATTAATATAAGAATCAAAAGTAGTCACATTTTCTTTAGCATATTGCTGCTGATGAAATCAATTTGACTTTTAATAATTCGATACAGCTAAGAATATGTGAAGGCAAGATCACAAAATTTTTTATATAGCAGAGACAGTGCTATCTATAGGAAAGATAAGATAGGCTGAAATACTGAATAAATTATAACCCATATCTACATCCTTTAGGGGTTATAAATTTACTCAACAGTTCAGCCTACACTTACCTTTCTGGCCAATATAAATTAAAATATATATCAATGAATATTAATTTAAGCAAAGCCAACTATAACAACTGTTAGAAATGAAAAGTAAAGAAGAGCTACATGCTTCACCTATTTAGTCTTTTCTGTAATTACCAATATATATGTTTGCCACATGAACAGTCCCAGTTTTCAGACAAAATCCCAGTGTTCCGGCTGGTTTAATTCATGTCCCGGTAAAAATTAAATATGACTTTATGACCAAGAAGTCTAAAATTTGGTCTCTTCTTGGTCATTTTGATTACATATAAAAATTCTTCTTGGTCATTTTTATTTAGATGACCAAGAAGTCAAAACTTAATTAAAGGATAATTACTCTTTCATTTATTTCTGTACTGCATGAAAAGTGAGAACTATAGAAGAGTGATGATCTGCTAATAAATAATATCTTGTCTCACCAACCGTGACCATGTGTGATGCGAGGGGCTCTCCGAACAAGTCCCATATTGGGCACTAAGGGGTGTAGCTTTAGCCCCAGAAGAGATTTCGCTGCATGCTACACCCCCTTGTGTGCAACAACATTGAACTCACCCACCCCAACACTAGCCGCTTGTGATAGAGGTAAGATCAGTCAGTCCCTATTGTGTTAGTGAGCTAGTGCTACTTTATTTACGTTTATGCATTCTCTGTTAAAATGCCAAAATTGTCACGTAAATTCACTGAGGATTTACAGAATGAATTCCCTTTTTTGAAGAAGGTATGTACTAGTACAAGTAATCAAGATCAAGATTTTAGAGTTAAATGTTGACATTGTAATTCTGAGTTTTTGGTTGCTCATGGTGGTTGATCTGATATAAAAGATCATCTTCAGTTGAGTAAACACATAAAGAGTTTAGCATGTGCTGTTACCACACAGCAAACCATCAACCTAAGTTTCAATTCAAATTCTTGTTCCAAGTTTTTTGAACCTAAATTCTCACTAGGAAAAACTAAATGTGAGGCAAGGGTTTTAAATTTCATAGCACCCTTAGTTCAAGAAGAGCTTGATCAAGGTCGGACTACATATCTGTAAGTATGGATGCATCAAACAGAAAGGACATAAAATTTGTGCCAATTGTTGTGTGCTACTTTCATCCTAATGCAGGTGTGCAAGTAAAGCAGTTATATTTAAAATCCGTGCCGGGTGGAACATTTGAAATTCTTACAAATCACTTATGCTCTGTCCTGCTGCAAAACGATTTGAACAATAAAGTAGTTGGCTTTTGTGGAGATAACTGAAACACTAATTTCGGTGGTATGAAAAGAGCAGGGAAAAACAATGTTTTCTATTGACTCAATAATAGCCTAGGACAGGAAATCAATGGAATCAGATGTGGAGCACACATTGTGCACAACTGTGTGCAAACTATGGTAGATAGTCTCCCAATCGATATTTAGGCCTTAGTTGTGAAGATTTATAAATACTTCCTCATATACACAGTCCGTGTAAATAAACTAAAATAAAATCTGAATATGCTGAGATACAGTACCGTGAACTCATTCAACATGGGAAAACCCAGTTTCTATCAATGATGCCTGTGCGAATTTTACAGATTTTAGAAGGTCTGAAAGAGTTTTTTTAGATAAAGAAGTATGCCCATCAACAATAAACTTGTTTACTAATTTAATGGGTGAGCTCTACTTGTGGTTTGTCTACAGGCAGCTTGCACCATTTAACAAGGCCATCCTGGTAATGGAAGAGATAATACTACAGCTTTTCAGGCTGCTGAAGCTTATAAAGCTCTCAAAAGAAACCTGACAGAAAGAAAGGCTTCAAACTTTATCCCTATGGGTGCAAAGAACATCTACGGAACCTACATGAGCAAGTCTGTAACCATGTGAAAGAAGAATTTGATGGCTTTTATGAAAGATGCATTGCATACTTGGACCTCTGGGAGAATAGTTTTGGAAATGCTGAACAGTTTTCATGGGTCAATCTGACTCAAACAAATGTTATTGATTAGGAAAACGTCAGAACTTCTGTTGAAATTATTAATAGCAGTCTTCTTGATGTACCCAATAAGAAAATAAACAAAAATCAGCTGTTTGATGAAGTTGTGCTTGCTAAGAAGTATTTGCAGTCAAATTGGGAACAGTGGAAGCAAGAAGAGACTACCAGAGATGTGATTATTTCAAATGAAGAAAAATGGCTCAGGCTGTTTAGTCACTTCAAGAAGAATCACATAGCAGCCTCCAATCTGATCAAGATTATTGAGTATGCCTTCTGCTTACCTGGAGACATCAGCACCAGTCAAGAGAATATTTTCTTTGATGAACAATGCATGGACTGATGATAGCGGCTTGACAAAGGAATCTGCAGTTAAAGGCTTGATGACATATAAATTAATATCGGATTACCTTGTGAAGATTTTTACAAGATTAAAACCAAAAAAGACTTTCTAAAAAACGTCCTAGCCAATGAAATGTACATGTAAATATTGTTCAAATTTTTATTCCTTGTTCAAAGTGTAAGAAATAAAATGTTTAAATTTATATGCTTGTGTCATTTATTATTATCTCTGATTTAGGTTTCTAATCGGTAACCATTTATTTATAGCATTGAGAATAAACTACCTTTTGAAACATTCTAAAAACCCAAGAAGGATGTGTACCCTTGAATGCTTGCGATGATGGAGGGGTATTCCGGTGTTCCGGTTGAACATCTCAGAAATTTGGTAAGCCTACCAACATAACTACACATGCCTGATATAAGGAAATTGGAACAACTGATGATTGTGTCAGAAGAATGAAAACAATTTTATTTATAATTTAACACTAAATGCTTTCAGTGGAAAGTCATTATTACTTTATTTTTATACACTCATATAAAAGAGAACTTTTGAAATGCATGATTTCAATAGACTATAATTATGTTTCTTTGGGATACATGAGGTAAGTCGATGCAAAAATTAATATTTTCTGGAAATATTAGATTTTTAACTTAAAAACAAATAATTAAATATGCAAATGAATCCTCATATACCTGAACTTAGTTTAACATAAAGATATATGCAATTGAAAATCTTTCACAGACAAAATTTCTTAAGACTAATTACATCAGTATAAGCTCAACTTTAATAATTTTACTTTAAAATTATTTACTGAAAATAACTCGCTCTTATTTTAATGGCTGATTTTGAATGGCCAACAATTTTCTAATTATTATTAAGTGAAAGAGAAACATATTTATACAGCACAGTAAAAAAAAAATCCTCACACAGTTATCCTAGAACTTAATCCAGGGTAAACTATCAGATTTCTACACAGCTGCAGTCAATCAGTTACTAGACAGCTTTTTCATTTAAAGCATTAAAGGAAGCTTCTACTATCCACATTAATTTTCTTTGCCATCTACTCGCATAATATGTCCACCAAACAATTTGCACCATTTATATAATCACAAACATTTTTTTCTACAACTAACTGAATAATCAGATATAATTTTAAAAACTCCCAAAATAAAATGTAACTTTGAAGTATTCCTGATTTGCTACTGAATTATGATAATCTGTTTAAAATCTCCCAAAATAAAATGTAAGTTTGAAGTATTTTTGATTTGCTGCTGAATTATGATAATCTCTTAAAATGTCTATGCATTTCTTATAGAAAAAAAAAATTTATCTGACTTGCTTTAATATTTGTATGTTTTAAGACAGAGATTAAAAAAATTAAGATATCCTTATGACATGCTTATTTTTAGTTTTATGATTCCAGGTTAGAACAGCCATATATTTTATTTACTCTCAGTAAATGATGGTTAATAATGAAAAACTTGCTGTGAAAGGGATTATAACAAAATTCTCATAGTTGACAGGGCAGCATGTAATAGATATTTTGCTGCAGTGTCAGCATTTTTAATGTTGAAAAATAGATATGGAAGTTAGATGGTACATTAACATCTAATATTTTTGTAAAGCAATGCAAGACAGGCAGAGAAGCATACAACTTTCTGAAGCAGGTCTTATCAAGAAGTCATCTATTTGAATGACACTAGAAGCTTGTTAAAAATATAGTACCAGTTGAGGATGTCAGGATCTGGATTGAAATCAACAATGCATATTGCTAATAATCATGTTAACTGCACTAAGAAAAATATCACAAAAGCATCAGTATATCAATCCACATATTATCTAAGTAACATTGTATTAAAAGATTTATTTGCTCATCATTAAAATTTGCTGCAGGATCTGGGAAAACTTGATTTCATATAAAAATTACCTCATAAAAATCAACAGTTGCTTGTGTACTCTTAGTAAAGGCTAAAAATGAATCTATCCGAGATCACTGCTGAAGATAAAATACGAGATTATGAATATGAAACAAACAGCTAGGTGTTATTAGGTTAAGCAAACAAACAGCTAAGTACTAAATAAAAATCCTCAAATGCAAAACTAAATATAATAATAATAATAATCATGTTCATTAGATTCTTTAACATTAGAGGTATGATATGCCATAAATACATCCTTCAATGACAAATCTTTTACAGAGATATTCTGAAGTTGTGGAATGCAACTCCATGCTACTGATCCAATTCCAGGGGATATGGTCAATAATTTTTACTGTATGATAATGTACGGAATTTTTTTTAACATTTCCATGTGTTCTATATTTTCCCTCTTACAGTACCATGTGAAATTTTGCTCTTCGCCTGAGCGATGAAGAGAAAACAACACAAATAATAAAATCATCCACAGGTTGTGAGGGTAAGTTGAAACACGTACAAGAAAACAATTTTTTAATCTACTTCCAGAACCTTAGGAAATACTGACAGCATTGCATGAAATAACACAACAGATAACTTTCAAAGGCAGAAAGCCCATTTGTTGGAAGATTAAAAATTTTATTTTTTTACACAGCTGATCCTTAAACTTTTACGATAAAAGTTCCATTATAAAAAAATAACACAATTTAACTTACGATAACGCTAAGAGGAATATGAATGCCATAAACAGTGACATCACCTCCCATTGTTATATGAGTTACATCACACAAAGGCATGCCTTCTCTGTGCGCATATGTAGTAAATGGAATTCCATTAACTTCTACCTATAAAAAAACACATAATGTCAATGTTTATTGCAGAATTCATGAATAAAGAACACTCATTACATTTGAACATACTTTATAAGAAGTCTTAACACACACTTCTAATTTCAGTATTTTTTAACCCTCAGCTGGAGGGGCTGGCATATGGTACAATTTTAGAGGGGTGGCGTATGAAGTATGCCAGGTCGTTTTCCGAGCCTCTGCTTCGTGTTTGAAACTATTTAATCTTATACATTGCATTAATAAGGTGATTCATCATAGTAAAAAGGATATAAGAAAACGAACAGAAAAAAAAAAGCAGTAAAGATGGAAATTAAAAATTTTTAATTAATTTTAAAACTGAAATGCACTGGAAATGTAAAAGTTATATAGTATTCTATGTTATTTTCTGTATGAAAATTATAAGATCATAAATCAAATTTCAAATAATAAATATTCCATAAAGTAAATAAATGTTCGGAAGTAATAAATTGCAAAATGAAAAAAATTAAAAACCTTTTGCTACTTTAATCCTCTTCAGATTGTCTCTGTTCACTACAGCAGGGTTTTCAAAGTTGTGCTGTCTTGCCCAGATGATATTTGCAGGTAAACTTAGAACACTCAGAACATTTTATGGTAGTGCAATTATTCTTCATTCTACTGCACTCAGCACAACATCCTTTGATCTCTTTTGCAGGTGGTTCCTCGCCCTTTTCAGTCGTCTTGTCCGCTTCTGTTGTTAACAACCTTCTAATAATAGCTTTTTGAAATGGCCTTTTTAGACTATTCTGAAGATGTTTCATCAAAGATGTAGCTAGATTTTTCAAAAAATATCATCTAAACATGATGGTTGCATCAGGTTTGCAAAGTTCAAGAGCACTTGCGAATTTATGCCCGCTACGCTTAGCAGTGCCAAAAATATTGCCATTGTCCACCTCTTGGTTTTTCGGGTGGCAGCGAAATTACTACAAAGTTGGTCTACAGTATCAACTCCACCTTTACATTTGTTATAATCCAGGATTATGTGAGGTTTATTCATTTCCTGGACAATTTTGTTATCATCGTGTAAAGTACTGAGCAGTATTACACACTTATTTCTTTCATTGCATATGAAACAATTGTCATATCCTTTTGAAAACCAGTGAACTGTCAACTTTTCTTGTGTTTGATGGCTGGAATTCATTTGGAATTTCCTTTTTATTTTTTTTTCAGCATGCCCACAAGTGTTATACCTTTAGTAACAAGATATTGAGCTAGGGGGTAGCTTGGATACCAATTATCAGTCGTCAGGTTACAGTTGAAATCTTCATACGCACCAAATAGTCTTTTGACAATGTCAATACTTGAATTAGAAGCCTCGTAAGTCCTGGGGGTTGATTGTCACAATAAATTTCAAGCTACAATGTACAAAATGTTCGTGAGTCAACAACTGCAAAAATTTTCAGACCGTACTTTGCGGGCTTGTTGGGGATGAATTGAATAATAGAGCATGTCCTACGAAAAGGTTCCAACTTATCGTTGATTGCGAGTTCGTCACCTGGCATATAAAAGTTTTAACAGTTCTAATTGAAAGATTAAAAAAAAATCTCTCAGTGCAGCAAGCTTATCAGTTTTTCTTTGCACATACCTTGTGCCTTTATCGTCGAATCTAATAGCAGCACACAGGTTTCTGAATCCCTTGATACCCATGACCCCTTGCAAGCTTTCAATTCCAGTAACGTCTTTTGCCCACGCTTCCTTCAGATTGAGTTTTGACATGTTTTTGCACCCTAATAACAATAAAATTCCTAAAAAGGCCAATATTTCTCCTCTATTAGTATCATACATACTTCTCTTTGAGATCTTTTGGAAATTATCTGCAGTCCTGTTACATTTGAAATAAATATTTGTATATTGCAACATAGCATCAATCATATTTGTATTCATGATTTTCTGGAAAGCAGAAAGCTCATCATTTATATCATCACAAGTTGTGGCATTTGGAAATTTTTTTCATCAAATTTTTTTGAGGTGTTCTGGAGAATTTGCTCTTGAGGGGGAACTTTATTCCACTTATAAGTTTCCTTTTCATCTTTCAGAAACTTTCTTCTTTTTGTAAATTGTTTTTACAGTCTTCATATTTTAAATCACTTATGCCATTTTCAACATCACTAAAATAGTCATTTGTTGGGGAAACATCATTTGAGGAAGGAAAATGAGGTTGTTTAGCAACATTTCCCTCAATTTCCGAGTCACTTTCAAGATCAGAATGTTCAATGACTTCAGATTTATCGACATCAGATGTGTTATCCAAATTGTCGGAGCCTTCATCAACCATTACTTCTTTTAAACGCGCAAATAATCTTCAGGAGGTACAATATTCTTTCTGTACATACTTGGAGGAGTGGTGTACTGCGTTCGCCTACGCGACATGTGTACAATAACTGCTTTCGGAAGGAAGGCGAAAACCAGACTGACCAGAAATACCAGATGTGTTGCACTCATGGAATGTTTCTAGGAGGGTAGAAGAAGGGAGGAAGCTCAGGAAGGGGTTGTCTAAAAATTACAGCCCAAAAGATGGCATTGGCATACTCTGCACGCAGGGTTAAGAATGAACACATATTTAAACAAATTTCTTATTCCTTTTCATTACTAAAATTTAAACCAATATAAAATTCCTTGGGTTTGATAGAAACTCATTTTATCATTGAGCTGAAAATGTTTTATGCTTTTGTTAATCTAATGTGTAGAAGAAGAAAATGCACAGTAATTTATCCTGACAAAAATTCTATGCAGCAGCTTTTATTACATAAATAATTACTTTGCAAATTATTTATCACAAGTTGTAAGAAACTGAAACATGCAAGTAAAATGCGCCATGTGTACAAACCTTCTGTTTTTCCACAATTTTTATGCAAGATCTTAACAAAATATGGCCATTTTTATGAATTAAAACATTAACTTAATATGTATTTGTAAAAATATCAATATTTTTGTTTATTATCCATAAATATGTCACATAGGCATGTTTTAACTTTTTGGTACTTTATTATCCACATCCCTGATTTACAGATTTGGTACAACTTCATATTTTTTTAATTTACATAACATAATTGCCAATCAACGCAGATGTGCATCACCTCTGTTTGAGTACTTGTGGATTTATACACTTTATATTTAACTGTCATTTTTCTGAACAAGTTCACTGTCTGCATAAAGTAAATATCACCCATATACTTTTCTGATTTTCTCATTGAATATCTTGTTTACAAAATGCTCCTTTTTATTATTATTTATTAAAAGAATAGTACTTATATGCCATAAAATGGTCAAACATATGATTTTCATCAATCCATAAAATCGCCAATGAGTTGGCAACTTTTCGTGCACTTGCTGATAATCAGAATGTACCAATTTTTCTAATTCTGCAGCAAAAATATGCAAAACATTTCTGCTACTGTAAATTAGAACATAACGTTATGGTTCTTTAACATAAGAGGGTTGGAACTTTAATAGTGGCAACACAGCTGAAAAAACACTACGCAACAAAACCAAAGAATATCGCGTATACCACATGTAAACTACATACCTATCTTACCTCTCAGCAAAAAGACTCGTCCTGCCAAAGTCACGCACATGCGGAGTGACGCGAAGAACGGATCCTTGTATTAGCTTGCGGTCTAAAGTAAGTGTTGTCAGGATGTTTTCAAAACAAGAACAACGATGTTGGATAAAAATTGAATGTGCCAGAGGTCGTACAGCACGACAGTGTCATCAAGGGCTTCAAGAGGCTTGCAGGGAATCTGCATTGCCTTACAGAACCGTAGCAAGATGGGTCAAAGCATTCAATGAAGGATGCCAAAACATGGCAGACATGCTGCGGCCAGGTCGTCCGAGTGTCAGCGATGCAGACGTGCAAGCTGTTGCCGCACTAATGGACAGTGATCACCGCCAAATGATTCGTCAGCTGGCCGGACAAACAGGATTAACGCATACGACTGTGCTGCACATTCTGAAGGAATGCCTGTCCATGAGAAAAATTGCTTCACGATGGGTTCCACATCAATTGACGGAAATGCAGAAATGGCTACGATACGATGCTGCCCGAACCCACCTGGAGCGCTATGAGCACGAAGGAGATGCTTTTTACGCCGTATCATTGCGCTGGATGAGACTTGGACCCAATCGTACCAGCCAGAACTGAAACGCCAATCAAACGAATGGCGTAATCATGGGTCACCACGACACTCAAAATTTTGTCAGAACCCCAGCAATGTGAAAGTTATGGTGATTCTCGTGTATGACTGTGATGGTGTCATCCTAACGCATACTGTTCCCCCACAGCAGACCGTCACTGCGCAGTATTACTGCTCATTTTCGGAGCACAATCTCCGACCAGCTTTGAGAAAAAAATGGCGACACTTTCTGCAGAACGCTCCTCTCATTTTGCATGACAGTGCTTGGCTGCATGCAGCGCAAGCTGTGACTGGTTTGTTCAAGCGATGGGGCTGGGAAGTGCTTTACCATCCACCACACTCCCCAGATTTAAGCCCTTGTGACTATGACTTAATTCCTAAGATGAAGGAACCACTTCGTGGCACTCGCTTCCAAACTGTTCCTGAGATTCTTGCCGCAGTAGACTGGTCCATTCAAACTGTCACTGCTACAGGCGCTGCTACAGGTATTCTGCGACTTCCACATGTTGGAAACGGGTTGTACACAATGCTGGCGACTATATTGAAGACTGTAAAACATGGTGACATGAATCACTTTTGTATTCCTTGTAAATAAATAGTTGCCACTATTAAAGTTCCAACCCTCGTATAATAATATAGGTACTATTCCGTAAGTGTGGTGTCAGTTAAAAATGAAGAAAAAATTAGAAAAAACAATGCTACAACAACGCACTCAATATCACAGCTCCAGATTTCTAGTTCTCGTTTGAAATGTCATCACTCATTTTTTCCCATATTTCGCAATGTTTTTAAGTACAATCGCTTACACAATTCGGTAATTGTCTAATGGTCAAAAGGCTGTCATCAGATTCTTTCAGGATAAAGGAGTAATTCATGGCAATAGACTTTGTTCTCAAAATCATCCAATGAAGTTAACTTTTAATTCTAACAAAGCTTCTATATGGTGTTGTTACATATGTTCCTTGCTGTGGCGGGAAAAAAAGGATTGAGAACCAAAACATGGTTTGAAGACTAGCATCTTTGTTTCCTCAATGTCATTTGTTTTACCTATTTGTGGTATCAAGAATTGACATAGATTGAATTTTGCTAACTTCAGTTAGAAATCAGCCATAATATGACAATGGCTTGCAACAGCTACTTTAAAGTCATTTTACAAAAAGAAAAGAACAACATTAGATGTGTTCTTCCGGAAAAATTTGTATTTGGGGGTTTATGCCGGGAAAGCAGCGTGGATGGCAGCATTATACTTTCAAACTGCTGGAAAGGATTTTTTTTTTTTTTTTTTTTTTTTTAAGGAATTAAGAAATGCTGGGTATGAACATTTCACTGTGAATCACAGTTATAATTTTATAGATGCCTGAAACTGGATGCCATATCCAAACTGTGGAGTGACTGTGAAGCAATGCTAAATGGAGAAATAAACATCAGCGGGGCACTGCTTGCCACCATTTAGAGTCGTATTTGATAAAATTTATGTGCCGTCGGTTACATTAAAAAACTGAACATTTTCCTGCAATATTGAATGATATTTGTAATTTCATGCCATCAGTTTAAAATCAACTTCATTTTGTTCTGTTATTTTTTATTTATGTGTATTCTAGGTAAAAAAATTAAAAAGAAAAACTGAGTTTCTTTAAGAAATTTTTAAAAAATTTACATTTTGCAAAACTAATTTCTTTTTAGTCTTTTGAACTATTATTATTCCATAATTTTATACTCGGCAACAATTGGTGTCAAAAAAAGTGGCACATGTTAACTGAAGCCGCTCTAACAGATTAGTACCATAATATATGTATATAACAATTAGGAGAGATTTGCAGTTCATGAAACAGCATGTACAGTACATTAATGGACAAACCACAAATTATAATTATATAATTACATAAAATTATGTACAAGACGTTTTAAGATCGTTTGTATCATCACAATCATTACATGTACATATTTACTTCATATCCATCCACAGTAGGTGTAACAGTTATGAGAAATGGTTCTCCTGGTACAAAAGGATTCTCCCCGTCTCTTTCTTCATCACCCCATGCCTCATCAAGTTTGCTATTGCGAACAACCACTCCTTCATCAAAGCGAGGATTGAAGTGGAGGAAGGTGTTAGCATCTTTTTCAGCATTCTTCAGGTTCAAAGAAAATCTAGAAGTAAAATATAATTTTAATGAAATTGCTTTATTATGCAGTAAACCACATCAAAGCTAATATAAATAAAACAAGTTAAGATGCAAATTTTGGAACTCTATATCTCTCTTTAACAATACTTCTCAGATTTTTGTCTTCAGTGGAGCAGTGCACATTACTTTTGTAACCAGTGCTTAAATTGCGCCGGAGCCCACCGGAGCCGGGCTCCAATGCTTCTCAATTTTTAAGATAAATTACAATTTTAGCCGGTGCACACCGGAGCCCTAAATAAGATGAGCTCCAGTACTTCTTTTTATAAAACAACTACAATTTAAAGGGAAAAAAATTTAGAATTCCTAACGTTTTAGTTTAACAATAAACAGACTTTGCAACACTCTATTTTCCTAGAAATACGAACTCATGAGAACATGAGATGTTCAAGTAAAGTCCCCTCACTCACATGGGGAAACCTTCCCCTTTAAGAAAAGCGATAAATTTGGGGGGAGTTTGTTTAGGAACACCTAAATTTCTCGCCATGCCATTGTATCTAGTGTATTGTTATCGATGCTTACAGTTAGTTATCCTCGCAGGAAGGAAAATTTGTGTTCTTAAATGTGCGTTAAGTGACAGGGAGTATGATAAGAGTGAAATACTGAGATAAACTGCTCAAACACGTCCTATACATCACCTTCCCACAGTATCCACTAATGGGGGGGATGAAACATAACCAACAACTTTACATTTAGGAGTCCGATTCAGGACTCATTTACCCCTGACACCCATCTGCTTGATGGCTATAATTATATCAACAGAAAGCCACGGTCAAAGAGAATGTTCTCTCTCACCAAGATTCCCCTTAATTTTTGTTTCCACCCACTCATACCCTCATTCTGTTTCGACCTGGAATTTTCATCAGCTATACTTTAAGTATATTTAATTTTTGTGATGATAAAAGAACATCCCCCCCCCCCCACGATCAGAACTTAAATTGGGTTGGAACCCACCGGATCTCGGCTCCGATGCTTCTTAGTTTTTGTAATAAATCATAATTCTAGCAGGAACGCACCGGAGCCCTGAATAAGAAGGCTGCGGCACTTCTTTTATCTAATTGAATAACAATTTCAGTAGAAATTTCATCTCAAAAATTTTATTTTAACAATAAAATTATATTAAAAATCGCGTATTAAATTTCAATTTATCTCTTCACATTTTATTTAATTTTAGTTAGTTAATTACTTCAATCTTTAATTATTTCAATAAATAATTATCTAATAATTATCAATTAAATTATAATTAATTATATAATAATTATTGATTAAATAAGAATTATAAACATTTTTTAAATATCTATTAATTAATTTTATATAATTAACTATTTAATTTTAAAATTATTAATGAGTTTAATAGTCATTTTATTTATTTATTTACTCTTGTTCCTCTCTGCTGACGGTCTTCCATAGGGCTAAGGCACTTCTAATCTTAGAAATTAAGCCCTGTTTGTAACATATAAATGCCATTAATTTGGAAAACAAATTAATACAAGCGCAAAACCTCTTTACCCCCAAATAACATCCAGAATGGAATATTCTGCAAATATATTCTAAATTTATTTGACAAGAAGGTCACAGAAGGCCTCTGATAAGATTTCAAAGTTCTTACCGATAAGAGCTTCACAGTTTTCTTCGCACGTATTGTTTTTCAATTTAGAGGTTAAGTAATTTGTCAGAGTTATTTCAGCAAAGAAAAAAGTTTGATATGTCATCAAAATTATGGAGAAACTTAAAGTCATAGGTTTTCCCGCTTCCATATTTGACTTTTCCAAAGTTGTAATCTGGGGCATAAGTGGTGTCGCTACAGCTGTTAAACTCGGACAATTTATGGCCCTTTACAAAACATAAAAATATCACATAATGTTAAAATAATGTACAGTGAAATAAACTTTTTGGTAAAATATTCGTATACAGTACTAAGTTCTTTGGAGAGATTTTGAAAATCGTCGCCAATACCAAAATGTCCCATTTACTGCAAAGATTATGTATGGCTAAGAAAGGAAACTTCTCCACAACAGGAGTGGCTCCGTCCCAACGTGGAGGGAAACAGCTGTGCATGCTCGAACTATCTGTCGCCAAAGCTCGAAGCCGGCGTCGAAGTCGAAGGTCACTTTTAAGGAACGTGCGCGAAGTCAATTAATACACAATAATTTAATATGTTCATTATAGTGTAGAATTTTTGTGGCAACAGTGATTTTTTTATATTGCTTTGAGCAAGGAGGTTAGGTCTATTCTAACCTCCTTGGCTTTGAGAGTGATAACGCACGGAATGTTTTGATATGTTTTTGGAATGTTTTTATGTTTTGATATGTCTTTTTTGGTATGTTTAGAATGCTAAATAAATAAGTTCGTAGTTAATTTCAAAGGTTTTTCTCTGCGAAATATATTACCATTCGTCCGAAGTTATTAAATAAGTCAAGAAATTGATTAATTTCAAACAACTGGCGACAGGACGGAATGGCTATTTTTAAGAAAACGAAACATCGATTTCGTATTGGAATTTATCAAGTGAGTTTATGATTTATTTGATTAGGAACAGCTTTAGTATAGCTCACCTTTAAATGGCGAATTTGGTTTGGCGCCAAAGCACATGAAATACGTTGTTTTGAAAAATGGTTGCCATCCAGATTTTCGACGAAACTCCGTATTTCAAAAAATGGTGGCCATCTTGATTTCGTAGATAATAGAAATAAGTTTACGACTATTATACACGATTTTAAGAGAACGAAATATTAAGAAATGATTAATAAAAATGATTAAGGTTCAAAGGATGTAATTTTAAAAACAATATCGGAAACCTTTAGCTATTTCACCTTTAATAAATAATTTGGTGTGACGTCACAATGTATTCTCCATGCTACGCGTAATTTTGTATTTTCTCTTTCAAAAAAAAATAATGAATTGTTTATTATTGTAAATTAACATCAAATTCTTTAAATTTACATTTCTGAGCTTAGGCGTAACTGAAAATAAGTATAATAAATTGTTTATATTTAAAATTATCATGATACAGTAAGCGAATTCTACCAGTTATTACAACGATAAAGAACATCGCAGTCTCTCATACTTGTATTTCATACAGCTTTCATATTTTCAAAGATTTTTAAGCTTTAGCATTTATACAAATAAAAAAAGTTTTTTTTTTAATTAATACTCTGGAACATATCAATTTTATCATATTTACAAATTAACGTTTTGCTACGTAACAACATAATCCCTTATATACCAGTAAGTAGACAATTTTTATTATTTTCTAAAAATTTTAAACTTCACATTAATGAAAAAACAGGTTCTTAAATTTCTGAATCACATTATATTCTTTGTAGGCAGGCATACTAGAATTCTACACATAAATAAATAAAAAATTTAATTTCTCGCAATGAAAGAAAATATTATAAGAAAATAAATACTACAAATTAGGAACACTAAGCAATGCTTCACATACACACACACATACAGTGTCTCACAAAAGTGATGGGACACTTGTGCTTTACAAAAGGAAACTGTAGTAAAATAAATTAAAAAAAAACATGTAAAAATTTTTTGTGGGTGTGTTTCATACTTAAATTTAGTAACAATTATTACATAACATACATTTTCTCAAAATATTAAAATATCAATTTAATAAAAATACAATTGTTTAGAACGGAGCAAAAAATGGCTCACATAAGTGATGGGACACTTACTTTTCCATCAAATATTTATCCACAAATTTTACTTTATAAAAGGTTTTGATATTTTGTTGGATTTCCTTTTACTTTTAAAACATGACTTAATCTTCTTGGGATGGATTCGACTAATTTTTTTTTTTTTTTTTTTTTTTTTTTTGCGATTTCTGGAGTGATTTTACACCATTCTTCTTGAAGCACCGATTTTAATTGTTGTTTCGAAGAAATGGTGTGTTTGCGAAATTCTTCCCTGGGTTTTCTCCACACCAAGATTTTACCGTCAGGATTAAATTTACTCTCATCAGCAAATATAACTTCATTCCAGTAATCAGAATTCTTATTTATGTTGGATTTTGCGAAAGCCAGTCTGAGTTTTCTATTCTTTTCACTTACGAAGAATTTTTTCCTGGCTGCTCTACCGTGATATCCAGCAGATCGAATTACTCTTCTAATAGTCTCAGGATTAACAATTACTCCATATAATGCTTGTAAATCAGCAGCAACTTTAGGAGCACTCATTCTTGGATTTTTTTTTAATATTTCGAACGATAATTCGCTTTATTCCATTGGATAGCTTTGATGGTCGGCCAGGTCTTCTTTTATCCTGAATCATATGATTCTTTTTATATCGTTTAATGATATTAAAAACTGTTGAATGACTCAAGTTAACTGTTTCAGCAGTTTCTCTAATAGATTTTCCACGTTCAATATGCAAATTAATAACTAATTTTCGAATTTCAGGCAAAGTTTCTTTTCGTTTAGCATTCATGGCTGCACAGAGCTAAAAAAACACAAAAATTCCAAAACAAACTGGAGAGAAATACTGCAGACGATTTGCGATAAATTATTGCCAATTGCTTTTGAGTAAAAATAAAAACCCCAAAAATATTTTTATTGCTTACTTCAGACGATTTTTGTTGCATAGTACGTAGTAGTATCTAATGGTGTCCCATCACTTATGTGAGCCATTTTTTGCTCCGTTTTAAACTAAAATTGTATTTTTATTAAATTAATATTTTGAGAAAATGTATGTGATGTAATAATTGTTACTAAATTTAAGTATGAAACACACCCACAAAAAATCTGTACATGTTTTTTTAATTTATTTTATTACAGTTTCCTTTTGTAAAGCACAAGTGTCCCATCACTTTTGTGAGACACTGTATTATCAAAGAACTCATATTATTAAGTGCGATTACGATTGCAAACACTACGATGATGAGGTAAAAGTTACTTATAGGGTCAAAATTTACAGTTTTGCTACTGTTGAGTAGATCGTCGGGCTATCGATATATATCGT